AGACTCAGTCTGTTAATCTGTTTGCATGCCTCTCTGTGTCTGTTAATAGGTATTTCTCTTGCAATATAATATACCATCTGAACATTCAGAAATAATAGAGGTTAAACCCCATCAGGCTCCTTCTTAAATGACTTATATATAATACCTGTGTCATAGAGTAAGAATGAGTAAAGTGCATCATTATATGAGTATATTCTGGAAGAAGTATACAGTTACAGTGTTGTCTTTATCATGTGTTTTTGTTTTTTACATGTATGGCTTATTGTAGTATGCAGTAACCTATCAAGATTTGCATATCAACTTCACTCAGAAAGAGTGGGCTTTGCTAAATGCTTCACAGAAGAATCTTTACAAAGATGTGATGCTGGAGACCTATATGAACCTGAAGGCTATAGGTAATTCTGTGTATTTTCTTTCACTCTTCATAGTAAGGGGACAACTGTTTCTTGGTTATTGATGATCTCTTGTAATTTTGAGTGAGAATGAAGAAGACCAAGGAAATAAATCAGTCATCTTTCTAAGGATCACTGAAGACAGTTAAATTTCAAGCATTTTCAATAATATATCATACATTTTTGATGCAATATTTTAGGCTACAAATGGGAAGATGATAATATCAAAGAACATCACCAACGTTCTCCAAGGCATGCAAGGTAATTTTCATGTTTTTGCTGATATAAATTTGCCTCTGAAGATACTTTAATGTATATGGAAGTTGCAAAGAAAAGCATCAGTGTACATAATCACATCATGAAGTGCAGTGACTATCATTAAATTGTCACGAGATCATATACCTTATCAGGTAGTAACTGCATTATGTTTACAAGTCCTCTTTTAGGAAGGAAGAGAAGATATGACTGCCTTAACACCATTTGAGTCACAGCTCAATCAGAGGTGTGCCGATGAGAATTGCAAATCCATGTAGTTTCATAGGACTCATATTACAGAAGGTATACACATTGAAAAGGTAATAAGTATATTCCCAACACATTTTCATCAGCAAAAGTTCATAGTAAAGCTATTGTGACTCACATAAATGTTCTGAGTTTGCTGAGTACAGTCAGATAGATAGTTTAAATCATGATTTTAGTTGGGGGTGAACATGTACATCCTTAATCGCTGCACCTTATGTCCATGAAGAACACAAATACAAAATCCATTATTTCAGTGTGGAAACCTTTTTATTTCTTACTCTTTTAGTAGGTATGTCTTTTTGGCACTCAAAATGCAGACCATATGAACACAGAGACATGAAAAGGAGCAATGAACTTCTCTCCATCTCAGAACAATTAGAAGATATGTAGTAAACTGTGTATTTAGCACAATTGTTGAACATGATTTAAATTTACAAGTGCTTGATTTTCCAGCTTCATTTTTATATTGCAGAAAAGCTCTATGTGTACAAGCAATGTGGAAATATTTCCCATTGTGTTGATTCATCTTGTAAATGTAATTTGAGTCACAAGAGAGGAAAATTTATCAATGCTAAAAGTGCCATGAATGCATGAATTGTTTTTTTCTCGATAATTATGAAAAAAATCTATGGAGAAAAATATGCAATAATTGTAAACCAGGCAATAAAGTTTCTTAGCATGAGAATCATCAAATATGGAAAACAACCCTTAATGAAGGGGAACACCATGAATGTAAACAAAGTGAAATGAGCTTAATACCTGATTAGTTTTTGAAATTAGACAAAATTGTAAAATTAAATCATAGTTATAAGTATTTAAGTTCAAAAAATTTTTTTAATCATAAGTTAATTTTACATTCCAACCCCAGTTCTCTCTCCCACCCCTCCTCTTGCCCTCTTGCATCCTCCCACCCCTATTTCCCCCTAGTACATCCACAGTCCACTCCCCTTCAGAGGTCATGAATATAGTAAAGCTTTTACATGTGTCAATTATCCTTGCAGGCATGAAAATAGTTCAATGGGAGAGAAGCCTTCTGCATATATGCAATGTTGTAAATATTCTGTATATGACAATCAGCTTCCAAGTCATGAAAGAACACAGACTGGAGGGAAACTCCATGAATGTAATCAATGTGGTAAAGCCTACCTATGCCACAGTCATCTTCAAATGCATAAAAACACACATGCCAGAGAGAAACACTATGAAGGTCATCAGTGTGGTAAAGCCTTTGCTCGGCACAGGTATCTTCAAGTGCACAGAAGAACACACACTGGAGAAAACCCTATGGATGTATCCAGTGTGATAAAGCCTTTGCTTGGCAGTTATCTTCAAGTTCATAAAAAAAGTCATACTGTAGAGAAACCCTATGAATATACTGAGTGTGGTAAAGCCTTTGCTCGGCAAAGCCATCTTCAAATGCATAGAAGAACACACACAGGAGAGAAACCCTATGAAAGTACTCAGTGTGGTAAAGCCTTTGCTCGGCAAAGCTATCTTCAAATGCATAGTAGAACACACACTGGAGAGAAACCCTATGGATGTATCCAATGTGGTAAAGCCTTTGCTCAGCACAGTGCTCTTCGAGTGCATGAAAAAACTCATACTGGAGAGAAGCCCTATGAATGTACTCAGTGTGGAAAAGCCTTTGCTCAGCACAGTTATCTTCAAGTGCATAAAAGAACTCATACTGGAAAGAAGCCCTATGAGTGTACTCAGTGTAGTAAAACCTTCACATATCACAGTCATCTCTGAAGACATAAAAGAACACATACAGAAGAGAAACCCTATGAATGTGATCACTGTTGTAAAGCCTTCACATGTCACAAAATGCTTCAAAGACATAAAAGAACACATACTGGATGAAACACTATGAATATAATCAGTGTGGTAGAGCTTTTGCATGCTCCAGGAATCTTCAAATGCATAAAAGAACACATCCTGGAGAGAAACCCTACATATGTACTCAATGTGGTAAAATCTTTTTCAGCACAGTAGACTTCAAATATATAAAAGAAAACATACTAGAGGAAAACTCTATTGATGGTAGAATTCTGATATTTCTGAGTAATAAAATTCCTGAGTCATGTATGAGGCTAAATCTGAAAGATCAGAGAAATAGTGCAAACAAACACGAGTTCTTACCTATACAAATATTCAGAACAAATAGGGTATCCTGTTTACTATAATCTTCACATTGAATGCCTTCACTTTTAAACCTCAGACTTATTCCTGAATTTCTGTCTCTTTGCTCCATACACTCTCTCTTCACACAGTCACAGTCATCCCTGCTTCCACTCTCCTAATGCTGGGATTAACTTGTGGCTATCACCACTTGGCTCTGCTCCTCTTTTAGATTGATTGTATCATAGGGTGGTCTCAAACTCACAAACCCCATATGCCTCTGTCTCCCAAGTGGTTGCATTTAAAGTGACATCAGTGCCTGGTCTGCATGTGTCACTAGAATGACTAGCTCTCATTTTTAGTCTAATTTCCTTTATTAAAGCAACTCAATGATCCTCATGTGTCTGCCTCCTGAGTACATGTCCAAGGATAGATCATACACTATACCCCATGTGTACTGTTTTGTCAACACCATCTAAAAATGTTAATCTTAAAATGCTTAAGAGTATATAAGAAGCTGGGCATTGGTGGTGCACGCCTTTAATCCTAGCACTTGGGAGGCAGAGGCATGCGGATCTCTGTGAGTTCGAGACCAGCCTGGACTACCAAGCGAGTTCCAGGACAGCCTCCAAAGCCACAGAGAAACCCTATCTCGAAAAACCAAAAAATAAAAAAGAGTATATAAGAGACATTAATTACTTCATGTATGTATTCAAAAAAGTATTTTCATTTATCTGGTAGAGATGTAATAAAGTAGGATAATCAGCAATCAGCTGTGTATATCATATCATAACTTGATGTTACTGGCATGAGAATGCTGGTACTGGCATACACGTCATACATACATAAAATGAAATTTAATATCAGCATGTAAAAATCAATTACACTTACATATACTAGCAGTAAACTGTATAAATAAAAATTGCAAAATTAATTCAATTTAAAATAACATTAAGAATAAATTAACTTAGGAAGGTAAAACATTTTTAAAAATGGAAGTCATAAAACATCATTGAAACCAGTTATGGTAAATCTCAACACTAGGGAAGCTAAGGCAGGAAAATCAACACTCTGCATGGTAGCCTAGGCTTTGTGAGTCCATTTCAAAGATACCAAAAACAAAATACTAAAAACAAACAAAAACCCAACAAACCTGTAAGACTCACACTTCTTGACTTTAAAACTTATTATAAAGGTATAAGTAATCAAGACTACATGGAACTGACATAGACAGACATAGATCAGTGGAGCAGATGGCCACAACAAACCCTCTCATATCTGGCATATGCTTTTAGGTAAGTGTGCAAAACAGTATGAAAAGATCAGTCTTTTTAACAAATGGTGCTAGGGAAAGTGGGTATTTACACACTGAATAATGAAGTTGAATGTTCACCTAAGAAAAAATAAACTCAAAGTGGACCAAAGACTTGTACCTAAGACCTAACACTGTTAAACCATGAAAAACAAGGAATAAAAAGCCTGCCAATGTTGACTTTAGCAATGATTCATTGGATAACAGAAATAACAACATTGAAAACAGACATGGTGGCTCACACATGTACACTGTAACTCAGGAGGCTGAGGCAGGAGGACAGCATCAGAGTTCAAACCCAGCCTACACAGCCAATTCAGTTTGAGGCTAGACAGAAAGATATGTAGTGAGACCTTGCCACCAAACACAGATTCCAGACAAGTTTAATCACAGATTTGTACCAGAAATACTTCTTGACAGGGATAAGCCTAACCAGACAGGAAATAGAAAAGCCTTTCCCAAAATTATTGTACATGACAGATGAATAGTAGATATTTTTCACTTGTAAAAAATGTAAAAGAAAATTCTTAAGGCTTGACGTGTAGGAGGACAACAAGGACACACAAGATCTTTTATTTATTATTTTGAGTGATAACTAAAAACATTTTTGTTACATTGGCCTTTTATGCTTTTCAAGACAAGGTTTCTCTGTGAATCCTAGGCTTTCCTGGAAGTTATTCTGTAGACCAAGCTGGCCTCAAAGTCCGAAAACTACTTCTGCCTCCCGAGGGTTGGGAGTAAAGGCCTGCACCATCACACCACAGTTAGTGTCCTTTATAACTTTTTTTAATGCAAATATTTTGTAGGTAGCAAAGGAAATAATAGCACACAGAAAAGGTAGTACTGATCTCCTGGTTTCTCCCTCTACCCAGGTCCTGGGCAACTTGGCCTTGTTCCTGCTCCTGACTCCTCTCCTTCTCTCAGCCACGTGGTTTCTCCTGAGCACCCACCTGTCACTCCACACCAGTCCTCTCCAGGGCCTGTGCCTTCTCCTTAGGGAGTCTTTCCTGGTCTAGGGGCCTCTAATCCTCGGGTTCCCTCCCAGTCCTGGGATAAATCTTATCTGATCTTCTCCAGGTGACCTTCCCTCACCCCAGGATCTGTCTTTGATAGGTGATTGCTCCTCGCTGACAGCTCAAAGGCTGTCAAAGTTTGCATGGCTGCATTGTACATGCTTTAAGTGGCTGTATAAGGGCCAAGGGCAGCTCCATGACTCCAGTTTCAAGATCCCAAACTGCTGAGCATCGTTCTAAATCACTCCTTTTCCTTTTCCATTTATGAGCAAGCACCTTCTGTCTGTTCTCTCTCTTTCCATTTTTGCTCATGATATGTTAACAACCACACTTCGTTCCCTTTCCCAATGAACTCCATGTGGGTTTGTTGAGTTTGGTGGATCGTGTTTCACTGCCCAAAGCTGCAGCAAAGAAAAACAATAACAATCATCATCATCATCATCATCATCATCATCTGCAGAATAACTGTTAATAGGGCATCTGTTGGGCTAGCACAATACCTCAATTTAAGAGCACTTCTTGTTCTTCCAGAGGACTGGAGTTCTATTTCTACCTCCTAAACCTGATGGCTCTCAACCATGTGTATATACAGCTTCTAAAGATGATAATTTCTCCTGATCTCCACGGGTACTTGCATATGCACATAATTTTAAATAGATATTGTATATATAATTTTGAGACATGGTTTCTCTTTGTAGCACTTGCTGTCCTCTAACTCAGAGATCCACCTGCATCTGTCTCCACAGTGCTGAAATCAAAAGCTTGAACCAACAGTGTCTGGCTAAATTCTTTTTTAAGTGTATTTGCTTTACTATTGATTAACAAGAAATCCCCAAATTAAGTAACTACAGTAAAGCTCCAGAGTGCAATGGTTAAGTGTCTTTGGCTAGACTGGAGGTCACTGCCATACTTCCTCTGTGACACCTTGATTAAAAACTTGGCTGTCAGTAGGGTCTAGTAGCTCAAGATTGGATGACCTGTAACTTCAGGACTCAGGAGGATAAAGAATGGCGGTAGCCAGAGTTTGAGGACAGCCTGGGCAACACAGTAAGACATTTCTCAAAAACCCAACAAAATAAGAGGCGCACTTGTCACCCAGCACTTAGGAGGTAGAAGCAGGATAATCAAGCCTGAGAGGTCCTCTTGTGCTGTATAGAGAGCTCAAGATGAGTGTGCACTACATAAAGTCTTGTGTAAGGAAGGGAGGAGCCCACAGACTTTCACAAAATCTACACACCAAACAGAAAAAATTAAAACCTTATCATTTTTTATACCTATACTCAGTCTCTAAAGCTTAGCAAGCAATAACCTAAAAGATTTTTAAAATATTTCACTTTGGGGAATATTTTTGGGCTGCTAAAAAAAAGTTACAAGGGCATCTTTGAACAGCAAGAAAAGCAGATGTAAGATACATACACAACAATATATAGGGAAAATCTCTAAAATGTTGTGAAAAATCAATCACCACCTAAACACCATATATAACAAGTATTCTTTCTCCACTGCTTTAAAATTGGGTAATGGGGGACCTGTCACCGTGATACATAAATCCCAGTTACCCCAGAGGCTGAGACAGTAAAGTAGGCTACCTTATACTCAGGAGTTCCAGACCAGCATGGCATCATCACAAGAACTAAATAAATTTAAAAAATCGGGTAAGCATTAATTTGGATTTCAGTGAGGCAAAGAGTTGAAACCCCACATCCTCCCTTTACTCTCAATTGCATTTTGACAATAAATAAGAGAAATATGTTGCACCACATACATGTGAGCTTCATAAATCCACTTTAGCTTACAATGCTTAAATTCAGTCATGTCTACTTGGTTAATTATAGGCTAATAAGCTATTGCAACTAGAATAACGAAAACTAGCAATTACTCTTTCCAAGGTGCAAATAATCCCAAAGCAAGCACCAAAGTGCTTGCAAAGTAGGTATGAACTTTATTTCCAAACTTACAGCAGTAGCTGCTGTGGTGGAAGAGGGTACAGACATTGTATCACTTGAGAGGCCATCAATTGGGGCTCCTATTGCTAACAATGAGAAAGATGAGAGCTGAAACCCATCACTGGAGTTAGCAGCTCGCTCCTCAATCAAGGAGGACTTCATAGCAGTGGCTGGAAGTGTATCCCAGAAAGAACTGGTGGAAAGGAATTGGAGGCGGAGGCACCTCCAGAAGAGTTTGCTTTTTAGGGCAGGAGAGACTGGGTGGCTTGCAGAAGGAAGCAAGAAAATAGATCAGAAACGACAACACAGGGGAAACACCTCTCCCTGAGCTGGAGGGCTGGACTCCATTGAATCGGATGAAATGGAAAGGTCAAGGAGTCCAGGGAGGAACAGGAATTCTGTGCTGGGTCTGGAGCAAAGCCCCCCTCATTTTCTAGTCTTATTTTAATCCAGCAGGAGAGGTAGCTCTTGGTGGGGGTGAGGGGAAAAATGTTTGGGGGCAGGTGCACCTGGGGGCGCTTGGATTCTCCTGCCTATGTGTAATGTTCTTTGGCTGTGCATGGGAACTTTAGGTGGGCTCACATGTTCTAAACTGAATCCTCAGCATACGATAAATTGTCAGATTTTTGGCTGCATTTGTGAACACGGGCCGGCACTAGCACCTGTAGCCATCCTGAGTGTGGTTTAGGCACCATCACTTAGCAACGCCACCCGGGTTCTGCCCAGATGCTTTCTGGAACCTGTAATTCGCAGCCACCCTCTCTGGGTGTGTGTCCTGGGCAGGCCGTGGTATGGCCCTGGCCGGGGATTGGCGGCCGCACTTAGCATTCATGCATAGCACGCCTGGATCTTCTGAGCCTGTGCAGCCACTGCCGGTGCGAGACACCTGCAAGCCACGAGGTGCCAAACACCCAGTTAGGGTAGGGGCTTTTAACATCCCTCAGGGGTGGCCCCAGGGGTAGAGCCTTGAATGGTGGGTTTTCTAAAGGTGGAGTGCTCGCCTTGGCACCCTGAGGACTGGGTTTGGAAAGGTGCTACCAAACACCATCCGGACTCACACAAGCCTCTCTCTACCTGCACCTCCCTATTATGGTGGAAGCTTAACCCAATCTGCCTTCTCTGACTCCTCAAGGAAGATACCTGAGGTGTACAGAATGGCAGTTAACTGATTACTGCTCCACCCATACCTCCTGTTGAATGTGAGCCCACCAACTCCTGACTCCTCCTGCCTCCAACATGCACACATTTGCTCTTGTCAGCAGGAGGAAGCCAGACTTAAACCGACGCCCCTATACCCGAGGAGTCTACGTTGTTTAGGTGGAAGGCCTACAGGTTTCTATATACAAAGAAGTTGGAATGTTTGGTAGACCCGTTCCAAACACCGCCCTCCAGGTGACAAGGGTAGGCCCTCCCCTGGAGTCATCTCAGTCCAGACTCCACCCTTAAAAAGTCTGCCCTTTGCGGCTTCACCCCTGGAGGGCATTAAAATCCGCACTCCTGGATTCACCTCTTGGCTTCTGGTTTTCTGTTCCCCTGGGGCCACCCAGGAATTCTTTGATCAGGTTAAACCTTTATGCTGTGCCTCTTCCGCTCACCTGGTCCTGTCATGTCCTGCGCTACTGTCTCGCCAGCAAGAACGACGCAGGACACTCGGATCCTTCTGCAGTAAAGCTTTAATACATCTTGAGAGATAGATGATCAGCTTCTGAGAGGGAGACCCCAAGCTAAGAAACCCAGCCCCTTATATAAGCCTAGGAGCTCCGAGTGAGACGTGTAGAGCCGGGATTGGTGGTTTGCTCATCACCCCAGATGACGGGTGAGGCACAGCTTAAACGGTAAACTCCAACTGACAGCAGATGTCAGCGCCATCTTCTAATGGCGATAGCGATAGCGAGGGCGGCTCCTCACATCTCCCCCTATTCATTTATTTTTGAAGCCATAGGACACCCACAACTTTGGAGTGGAGATAGAGGTCAAATCCCCATGTGCAAATTTGGAACATGTACAAAGCTCCTCTCCAGGGTCTTATCCCCAGAGGGAGCCCTGACCAGTCCCGATGTCGTTTTTCTGGGGGAAGGAGATCATGACATAGAACCTTCATGCAAGATGACTTATCTCCCAGGAGAAAGTCGTTATACCGCAGACCTCTCCTGTGCAGTGCTTAGCCTTGCAACTCCTTGGGCTGCTGAAGCCTACCCACTCTATCCTGTGCAATGAGACTAGCCTCGTGGGGTGCAAGAGCCGGGAGGCCAGCGACCTATTGCTTTAACATGGTTAACCAAATGTCAGGGGAGGCTCCGTGTTCTAAGGCAGCAAGTGCTTGTGCCACCATCACTTTGTCTCTTTTGTTTGGGCTCTGAGCTTACACACCATCCAAAGCATCAACACTATTCCACAGCAGAGAACTAGGCTAAATGATCCCACCCCCACCCATTCCTTAAAATAAGAAAATGCAGATGAAATCCAGGAGGAGAGGCCTTCCATCAGAGAAAGATCCAGACGCGTCGAATTCACTTGCAGGATCGCCACTCTCAACTCACGGAGTGTCTGCTCAAACTCAAAAGTCCAATTCTGTAATAAATGTTGAGACAGAGCTTTTGACAGGTTAGCTGCTCTTGTAAAATTCTCATATTGTACTGAAGTGACACAAAGGCCAGGCAACTTTTGTTCACATCCCAATTGGGCCATCTGCCACAATATATCCAATTGTTCCTGAACCAAATTAATCTGTTGGTTTACCAACATCAGGCCTCCTTGTATCTGAGAATTGGCAGTGGCCTGTTTATCTAGGGCCATGGTCACAGTGGCCGATAGTTCATTAATGGTTTGAGTTGTCTGCACAGTGGCGGAAAGTGCAAGGGCCGAGGCGGTAACCGAAGCAGTAACCGCGGCGGCGGCTATCAGGCCCACAATAATAGCAGAGATCCCAAAAATCTCGCTTTTCCCTAAACAAACTCAAACTACTTGGCACCTCAACAGGAACTGGAACAAATCGAGGCATGCGCATTACCAAAGCAAAAGGGTGCTTAATAGCATCCCAGCATAATGCATAAAAACAATTCTAAGCAGAGCAATTTATTTCTTTCTGATTCTTACCTAAGGTATCATTACTCACAACCCAAATAAAGGGCAGCCAAACACAAATTGGAGCAGCTGAATAATTAGTTCTCTTAAAAGGGGTATACTTAACATTGGAGGAGGACCAATCAGATGATCCAGAGCTCTGTCCCTCACTCAGACTGTTGCCTAATGCCCCTTTCCAATCAAAAGTAATCTGTCCCTTCTCACTATATCCTCCAGCAATCATTGCCATAGGAGAAAGATCAGTACAGCTTCCATTAATTCAAAAGGATTAGCATTAGATCTTTCTGGATCCATATGAATAAAATTATCCTTTAATGAAGAAATCACAGTAAAGCACAAGCTTCCTACCAATGACAAGGTTCTCTCATCCTGAAAACTCTGTATCTGAGGATCTAAAGGCAAAAAGGCAAGCCCCAACTCTCTATTAGTTGTGAAAAATCTAGGGAACACCTGGGCATTATGCATCACTGGCATCGGTAGGGGAAGGTAGACATGATGGCCCACCGTAACTCTCCCATCATACTAGGAACCATCATCCCGAGTAGGAGAGTCTTCATCACCCACTTGGCCTCCATCCTTCTTATTCTGGAGTTGTGAAGGAGCTCTTCGAGTGAGTCTTTCAGGGATCCACAGGGGTTTTCTTCCTCCTGTGGAAAAACACACACAGCTCCCCTGGATCTTATTAGAATAGGATCCGGGCCTTTCCATTCATTAGTTAGCACATCTTTCCATTTTACAAATTCTTTTGGCCTATCAGGCTCTAAACTGTGGCGATCGGCCGCAGTGTGGCCTTGGGCATCAGAGTTCAAGAAATTAAGGGTAAAAAGTGCCATGGACACAGCAACTCTTGGTACCGAGGGTAGAACATCCTCAATACTCCCCTTTTGTTTAATCAGATATGATTTGAGTGTACGATGGGCACGTTCCACAATGCCCTGTCCTTGAGGGTTATAAGGTAGGCCAGTTAGATGGGTAACATCCATTTGCCGACAAAACTGTCGGAATTTTTGAGAGGTATATGCTGGTCCATTGTCTGTTTTTAAAATTCTGGGTTTTCCCCAAGCACTCCAGGCCTCAAGGCAATGTTGAATCACATATGAGGCCTTTTCCCCTGTTAGGGGCGTGGCAAACATTACGCCAGAACAGGTGTCAACAGAAACATGAACATATTGAAGCCTTCCAAAAGAGGGAATATGAGTAACATCCATCTGCCACATCTGCAATGGTCTAATGCCACGTGGGTTTATTCCCACGTGGGGAGCAGGTAAGAATTCGCAGCAATTCTGGCATTGAGTAACAATTTCCCTAGCCTCTTTCCTGGATAGAGCAAAACGACGGCGCAAGGTCTCAGCCGTCACATGAAAGCGCTGATGGAACTCTTTTGCTGCTTGTGCGTGGGTAGACAAGGCAGCGGCCACCAGCTTTGTAGCCTTGTCTGCTAAGTCATTCCCTAAGGACATGGGACCTGGGAGTCCAGAATGTGCTCGGACATGGGTAATGAAAACAGGAAATCTCCTATTTAACAAGGCAGCTTGTATCTTCTGAAAGATGTTAGCAACTCTGCTGGAGGATCTTATTATTCCAGCTATCTCAAGGAGATTAACTGCATTAACCACATAAGAGGAATCTGATACAATATTGAGGGGTCCTGGAAAAGCCTCAAGAACCTCCAGTACTATCAGACATTCTACAACTTGAGGTGAAGTTTCATTATATTGTTTAGATATAACCCTATCCTTGACCACATAAGCTCCCATACCAGTTTTCGATCCATCAGTGTACACCACAGTCCCATCTGGGAGTGGGTCTTTAGCTGTCACTTGTGGAAACACTATAGCCTGGTTTAGGGCAAACTGTAAAATTGGATGCTTTGGAAAATGATTATCAATTTGTCCTGAAAAGGAAGTAACTAAAACTGCCCAATCACTAGATGTGGCTGCCAAGGTCTGAACTTGTGCAGCAGTATAAGGCACAATCAAGGAATCAGGATCCCTGCCAAAATGCGTAACAGCTGCTTTTATTCCACGAAGCGCGAGCTGTGCAACAGCATCAGGGTACCAGTCAATAATCTTAGCAGGGGAAGCATTTGGATGAATCCAAAGTAATGGTCCATGTTGCCACAGGACTGCAGTTGGCAATTGAGCTGTCTTAAAAACACACAGATTAAAAGGTAGTGACTCCTCAATACGTTGTAATTGTGCTTCCTGTAAGGCCTCTTCCACCATCTGTAAGGCTCGGTGGGCGGCAGGGGTAAATTTTCTGGGTGAGGAGATATGAGGCTCACCCTCCAGGAGATCGAAGAGGGGTTTTAGATCAGCAGATGGAATTTTTAAAAAGGGCCTCAACCAATTTATATCTCCCAGAAGTTTCTGAAAATCATTTAATGTTTGTAAGTGGTCTTTGCGAATTTCTATTTTCTGAGGAACTATATTTTTGGGAGTAATCATTGAGCCCAAAAAGAGGCCTGTATCTGCAATTTGAACCTTTTCTGAGGCAATCTCTAATCCCCACTGTTTTAATTCAGCCACCAGCATGGGAAAAGCCTTTTGTAAAACATCTAACTCTTTGTGACAAATAAGAATATCGTCCATATAATGGATCATGATTAAAGATGTAAATTGCTTCCTAATTGGCTCCAAAGCCTCCTGCACATACAGCTGACATATTGTTGGGCTATTGGCCATGCCTTGCGGCAGTACCTTCCACTGAAATCTCTTGTCTGGTTCCATATGATTAAGAGAAGGGATAGTGAAGGCAAACCTTGGTCTATCCCGTGGGTAAAGTGGAATAGAGAAGAAACAATCCTTAATATCTATAATAATAAGCTTCCAATCTTGAGGAAGTGCAGAAAGCAAAGGAAGTCCTCTTTGAACAGGGCCAAAAAGATGCATCTGATTGTTAATGGCCCGCAGGTCATGGAGTAATCTCCACTTCCCAGATTTCTTCTTAATAACAAAAATTGGTGTATTCCATGGGGAGGTAGAAGGCTCTAGATGCCCCAGCCGTTCCTGTTCTTGCACTAATCTTGTGACAGCCTCTAATTTTTCAGAGGATAGAGGCCATTGAGAGACCCATAACGGCTCCTCTGTTTTCCATGGTATGGGTCGTGAAGCCTCAACGGCCCCTAAATAAAACCCAGTCCTTTTCTACCCCGATTTCCATGTTGCGTAATGGGTTTTATTCTGCCTTGTTCTTGCCTACCCAAGCCTCTACCCTTTGTATACCCCATCTTTGCCATAATGGCTGATGCCTGGGGGGAGTATTCATTAGTTAGGGTCATGCCCATGGCTTGTAACACATCCCGTCCCCATAAATTTACAGGGAGTGGCAACACATAGGGGGTAAAACATCCCTGTTTGCCCTCAGCGTTCCGCCAGGTTAAGGCTGAGGCACTGATGGCAGGAGAGGACTGGTATCCAAGACCTTGTAGAGAATGAGATGAAACAACAGTGGGCCAAGACTTCGGCCACCAATGGAGTGAAATAATGCTTTTGTCTGCTCCCGTATCCATTATCCCTTCAAATTCTTTTCCATTAATTAACAATTTTATTGTAGGTCTCTCATTTAGGGGTATAGCCAGATAGGCTGAATCACTTCCAGAAGATCCCATAGCCCTTTTTTGT